GTAAAAAACAAATTTTGAAATAACAAGATCTTTTAAGGATGTAAACAATTTGCTACAGACTATGATTGCCTGAACTAATTAAATTCAGACAAATAAGAAATTTAATGTATAATTATACATAATTAACAAATTCATTGTAATATTAAATCTAGGACAAATTCCTTATAGCGTAAATTAATTCTTCAAAGTTTGAACAATTTGCCAATGATAATTCATGTAATAACGTGGCAAATGCAAACTTTTCGCATGCATCAATCAAATACATTGAAACATTGAAGCTTCTCCACAAAATAAAAACAACTCTCGAGAAACCAAGCGTAAATAGACTTTTAACCGCTGCTAACAAGATTCCTATTGCCTCGTATATCTCAATTTCAGTTCTGTTTGCAGCTGCCTTGTTTCCAACACTCTATCAAACGCCATCAAACAGTCTTTACCTCCTCAAGCCACGTCACGTCACGAGATTACTATGCACTGGGCCAGCTTCGCGCATCGTTAGCCGACTGTTCACCCGAAAGCGTGAACTGGGTCATCGCGAAGGAAACGAGGGGACGGTGGATTCGCGAATCGGCCAAGTATTCGGAATTATTTCCTTAGCGAGAGAAAAACGGGCAGAGGTCGGCGGAAGGGAATGAGAAAGGGAACACGGAAGGTCGACTCGGTTCCCGGCATTCCACGGAGTCCAGCAAAGAATTCAATATGCCTCAGTTGACGACGATGAAGCGAAGGTAGGAATCTCGAAACTCGGTCACCCCGTTTCCAATTGACCGGCTCTAACCGCTCGTCTCGATTCCCTGCGGACCGGGATTGCATTATGCGAACTTCCTGCAGATTAGTTGTCGTCAAGTTTAATATTTTACCAGGTGATTCCGCGTCGACCTGGCTGTTCCGCCAACTACCACAACCTGCGAGTTGTGTATAGAACAAAGCCATAGTTTCCTCCGAATATTGCATTCCTTAGAAGGAGCGCGCATAGATTCGATAGCGGTCAATATAGACTGAGATTTTACATTGATTAGGATTGTCTTTAAATGGATATTTTGAGTTCATTAACCAGCAGATCGTTAAATTGCAATCACGTATACGGATATGATCAAATGATTACTATCGATTCGGCATTGGTAGAATCAAGACTATTGGTTCTGTGTAGATTGCAATGGAGAAATCCTTTCAGCTTTGATAGCAAAGGTAGAAAACGCGGATGCGCGGAATTAACGCGCGTACATTTACACCTGAATACCTGAGCTTGGAAATCGTATATAGGATACGCACGTGAATGGAGTGCTCAAGTGCAGACACGTGGCATGTCGAGACCTTAATAGCTCAGTCTCACGACTAAAAGGGATTCGTGGTTGAAAAGCACCGAGGGCGGTACTGGTCAGACTGTTAGCAGCTGCATTTTCAGTTGTTCCACACATTCAATTCACCCTTTGATAGCGCTGACCCAGATTCGGCTCCGAGCAGACACGTCGAAGAGCAATCGATAACCTCTTTCTACGCAATTAACTACTCCTAACACGCTGCCGGCGCTCTTGTCCAGAAAAATTACAAGCAGATGTGCTTCAGGAAATTAGCAGCTCTTATTGTGTTTAGTGGTTAGAGGAAGAATATATTTTTCTGTGTTTATATCGAGTTTATTGTCGTACAAATAGGGAGTATGATGGTATCTCTCATTCTCGTTACTTCGTTTTGTATTATGTTTGATTGATGGTTGTGTGCTTTATCGATCACAAGAGATAAACGTGATAAATCCATTTTTCTAGAGTTCTGATTTTAACGCCAGCGAGTAATTCGTTGAATCCAAAGAAAAGCAAAAGATATAAGAAATTAAAAAATAGTTTATAAATTTTTCGAAATGTTGTAAATGACGATTTTGCTATTGATTCTTTTAAAATATTCAGGAGTTAAAAAATCAAATTAAACGTGTCTCTTCCATCTTAATAACTACCGTTTTGAATTCAAAACTATCAATATTCTTATGAATAATTATAAAGATTAAAGAATATATTTGATTTCATTCATTATAAACTTAAAACTCTAGGGACATTTTAGAAGGTAAAGGTGAAGGTTGTATTACGTATGCACAATTAGGAACGCAAGGTCGGCTGTGAATGAACCCATACTTTTCGACACCTTGAACCTCAAGCCAGGCGTTCGTGCCACAACCTTCCCCTAGGAACCTTCGAGAGACACATTCGCAGCCAGACCGCACCGTTATTACCAGCGATAAATCGCCACCTTTAATAAGAGTTCGCATGACGTTCCAGACGGAAGTCAGAGACGCCGGCGTCGCAGCTAACGTCAACCAACGGCCAAAGAGAGGTGCGATATCAACTTGACGCGAGAACAATGCGATATCAACCATCCACGATAGTTTGTTCCTACGATTGTAAGACCAGTTTTAGGAGCATTTTCTGTCGATTTACTTTATCATAGATAAAGGAAAGTAGATAAAAAGGTGTTACTTCACTTTTAGAAGTTGACTTAGAAATTTGAATAGATAAATGAAATTAGTATTTCGTTCATAAAATTCTTAATAATACACTAAATTCCTATTACAAACGCTATCATTGAACCTAGTTCTCTTTGAAGTACGATATAAAAGCTTTCTTCCAAAAATGATTTATACACACACATTACGATAACAGCTCGTGCTGATTTGTATTCAGTGGAAAAAATAATAAACAGCAATTCTGAATTACAGGAAGGTTTCGTTTGTCTCGTATAGTAAACGCAGCTGCGAATCCTCAACATAGGAAGCGTTATGCTGTGTGGAGCTGCGCTAGATTAACAATTCTTGGCGTTTCAGTGTCGCTTTGGATGCGTTGACGCTACTTCAGGCTAGCTTCAAGGCTCGACTGTAACGAGCTTCAGGATTGATTAACCGTGGCGTCGAGCGACGCGCGAGCAACTCTACTTCTGCCAAGTCTGGGCAAACGAGTCGACGTCTCGATCCCCTGGCGAAGGATCAGCGGAGCCTTAATTACGCTTGATTAATAGCTTCTTCGACGGATTGTCGGCTGACGGAGACGGCTGTTTAACGGAGGTCTACCATAATTTTTCGGTGAGACTGTTCCCTCGGCTAATTTTCGGTACACCGCTTAAAATAAAACGTCACGAAGTGGTTAGTCTACTCGATTGATGGGACAGAATCACAACGATACGTTTTCGTCTTTTAAAGTGTCCCTTTTGATTGATTGCCTGGTTTTTCCCTTTGTTACAGGAAGATTGCCTTTTATCTAACTTTGATTAAATTTTCTATACAATGCGCTGGAATTTTTTGATCGACAGATAGAATCTCGTTGTTATGCTGTTGATATCCGTTAACCTTGAGGTATTCTTAATCGAATTCCATCGTTTTGTAGCGCTCATTATTATTTTATAGGAACAATAGAATAATCCTGATACGTCGTGCAAAATAATGTAGTTTCGGTAACTGGATAAATCCAACTAATAGTTGCGAATTTTGTATGTTTCAATCTCGTCAACGATCCACTGTTTATCAATATCGTATTGCATTGGAAATATGTAAAGATCTCAGGCAGGTATTCGGAAACAAACGATGTTGTGGCAAGTTTAATCGACTGTGAGAGATGTTCTTTAACGTTTTTAGCGACTAAGAAACAGATTCATTCTGTGGATTCATTCTACGCCGTCTAGAAAATAAAACAGCTACTCGAACATCTAAGAAATCGAGCCATTATTATTCATAGACATTCTCTCTGTTGTTTTCTCTTCGTTAAGTGTTGTTAAAAGCGGATATATTATTCTCATCTTTTATATTAATTTTACGCTAAAAATATTTTCAAGACCATAATAGTCTTGTTATTTATAAAACCAAATAGTATAGCATTACCAGTGAAGCATTTTCCGCTTATGTCTCGATGAACGAAGCGGTAATTGGCAACAGGCCACAAAGCAACCTGAAACTCGCGAATACAGCGATTCGTTCAATTTCCGCGACTCAAAATCTTCATGAAATTTCCAGGGACGAGACGACCGCACTCTTTTCTCGAGCGGTGGTCTTTGATATCTTGCTGGTACAGGAAACGTTTCAAAGGAGAGGGGAAATGACTTAGCTGTAATCTTCCGTTTTTCAACTGCGAAGCTCGTCGAAACGGCCGGCTATAGCACCGAAATAGATTACAAACGTAATATTTCAGCCGCCATAAATATTCTCCGTTAAAGTTGCCAGAGCTTTTCACTCTCGGTGCTCTTTCGTTGGATCTCTTGGATGTTTCTTTCTAAGCAGAGGGCAAGAGAGCGGAAGGGAGTCTTTCGCGGAGTGCTGGTCGCCAACGCCGCGATCTAATTGGGATAAGACGGATTTTTGTACCAGGTGGTCCTTAATTGGTCGGCCATCATTACGGGTGGTCTCGCGGTTCTAATTACTGTAGTCCACGTTACGCAGACCTTTATACGTTTCTGCACACCAACTCTCGAAAGATTTTCGCGAATATAGAATTATTTATAACGACCGTCACTACTTCGTTGATACTCTACTGCTTGTGTGCCATTGTTTCGAGTTACTTTATTTAAGCGTTTGGTATTTTAATTTCAGATTTTTTAACAATTCGGTGATTTTTGATTTATTATTGAGAGTATTAGAATATAATTTGAGTGTTTAGATGCAGCATTTATTTTCTGGAATTATCAAACTATAAATTTACGTTACGCATTAAGAAACTCAGTAATAATAGCTCACAATAAAGTTCACGATTCGCTGTTATGTGTGTCATTTTCATGTAGATCATCTTTTTATTATTTGAATAAAGTGGTTTCTATCTGATCTATAAGTTGCAAAGGAAAGAATCCCAGAATGTTATGGTAAAAATATTTGGATACTTCTAAAATGCATTAGAGAAAGTTTCTTAAAATATCTTAAAACAATTTGCTTTTATTATATTTGAAGTATCTATTAACCACACACTTTTAATAGAACAAACATTTATTGTTATTATTTATATTTAAAAAACATGTATAAAAATTTGACAATAATCTACATAAAACATAAAAGTTCTAGTTTAATTCGTAATTTATACATCTTGCAGATCTTTCTATTTACGAATAACAGGCCAAAGTTTAACAATAGTAATAACAGTGAAGTATATTTCTGACTCGTCATCACCATTGCTATGGCGCTTGGTTCCATGGTTGAATCTCCGCCGATCCAAAGATCACGAATACAACAAACGCGGACGTTTGAGCAATAATATTAATCCAGAAGACATACCTCCACTTTACCATAGTGTGCTACATTATTAATATAATACGTGAGATCAATAAGAATAAGAAGAGAGAGTTCAAACAATTCACACATGATTACACAGTGAACTTGAAAGAGAAAATAGTACAAAATTAATTGTTTTATTCGAGAAATAATGCTGCTAAATTAAATTTAACAAAGAAATTAGTCAGTGTATTAAAAGATAATATTTATGTATAACGTACGTTCGAATGATTCTCGATTATATTTTAAATACTCTTTTCTTTTTCCTTCACTTATTACTAAACTATGAATGTTTATGCTCCTATCGATGCATTTCTCATCATATTTAAACGTTTCTTTATTTTTTTACGATCAAATAACTTCTTCTATATAGAAAAGTTCTATGTTCATCTTACCCCAGTTTCCATAAGCGCGCCAACCAAAGCAGGCAGAATAAACGCAGAAATTGTCCCTGGAGTATTTGTAATGCCCATTAAGATTCCAGCATAGTTTGGTGCCAAATCATTGTGATTGGTGAGATGTCCAACAAAAATTACACCGCAGAATACTATGCTCAGTATTAATAATATTGTGGACCCTACGCGGTTGCAGCCGAGATAAGCGATTATAAGAAGACATAAACTCGGTGGGATACAACCTGTAACGTTAACGAAAACCCATAGGTTGACATATAGTATATATAACTTGACGTATTTATCATATTTAAAGTAAAAATGAAATCATTCGTGTTATTATGAATACTTTTCACCAAATTTGTAGATGAAAAGAATTTATAAGATTGAGATATATTATATCGAATATAAATTATATAGCGAAACTTACTTATAAATACTGCAACTTTTCGACCACCTGTCTGTCTCCAATAATTCTTTTGTCTGCCCCAGTCCAGTAATTTACCAAACAATGGGTTTACTATTGCATTTATCAGATATGGAGAGCAGCTCAGGGAAGCATTCTACGCAAATAAATAAATACGTTGACGACTGAATGATTCAAAACTGTACACATAATTTACTTTATCATTTATGTAACATCATTATACATTATTTCATAATTATTTATATCGCTTTTGTATTATGATTCGAAATTCGATGACGAATATAAAGTTTTACTCGTCGCTGTAAATTCTTGGCTCAAAAAATATGGAACCAAAAGTTCAAATGAATTTTATAAAACGAATTAGTAACTTAAAAGCTATTATACAAATTAAAGGAATGATAATGTAGCAATTATTCTTCTAACAATGAAAATAATATTTTAGCTGAGATATTTTAATAAATAATAAATAATAATAAATATATGTGTCTTATAGTACCTCCTGGCTATTTTAAGTAACTCTACCATTGGGTTATTCGAATCACTTCCTCGTTTTTGATATTTTTTGCTTTCTGGATCTAAAGTATACACGATATTTTCTCATTCTTCTGTTATTGTATTAAGACTAATGGAGTATCAGGAAATATAATAAGTTTGATCATTCCATGTAAAAGTTCAAAATTGAGTTTCAAGTTTAGGTGACAAATAATCCTATCTTATTATACAGGGTGTCGCTACTTTTTTCCGCATAACTTTTCTAGCAGATCCTACTAGTGAAAATGAGAAAAATATTTCATATAGACATACATAAAAATGCTCTGTCAAAGAAGTATAACAGAAATTCGAAATCATAATTGGTTATTTATTTGCATTAGCTCTATTTCAAAGTGCCGCCTGTTCTTATAAATACAGGCTTGATATTTTGTCAAAAATTGAATTTATTACATTGCGAATTTCACGTCAATTTCCTTTCATGTTGTTAAATGCATCATAAGTTCCTTGCGCTAATTTCTCGCATGTATCAACGACTTCAAGTTTGATACAAACGTGGCTTGCGTAACCAGATCAGATAAATATTGCCAATCTGTTCTTATGCTATATCGAACGAAAATCAATATTTCGTTGTTACTTTGATTTTTTATTATAATTTTCTAACAAAGCATTTTTGATCCCACGTTGTTTTTCTTTTCTTCTTACTTTTACTCTGCTGCTTAGAATCTGCTGGCAAAGTTATACGGAGAAAAGAGGGACACCCTGTATATTATTATCAACTTACCGATTTTATATCGAACCTGAGTATCTTGTTCATATACAGAGGCAGTTGTGTGAGTAAAAAATACCAACAGAAGTTCCCAAAAGTATTCGTATAAATCAGTGCCCAAAAGGGTACCGACGTGAAGATGGCTTTCCACGGAACGTCCATGTGTGCAGATTCAAGGCTTCTGTGCCCATAAGAGGTCACAATGAGTTGCCTTTCCTTTTCAGAAATGTACTTTTGCGTTTCTGGATTGTCAGCGAAAAACCAATAGAACAGGGCACACCAGATCAGTGGCAGTGTACCGTGAATGTAGAAAACTGCCTCCCATCCGAACCAGTCGAGTATCAGACCAGAACTCAAGATGGAGATCACGGTACCAAGCGATGTTCCAGCGTAGATGATGGCGAACCACGTGCTTTTTTCTTCGTAAACAACCCATTTACCAACGAGGACGTTCACCACAGGTAGATGCGCTGCGCTTACTAGGCCGGTCAAGAATCTCACAATATAAAGGATCAGTAGCACGTTGGCTGCTACTGGCACCAACAACGTCAAAAAAGCGTTCCCTAACACGCATATCAGCAGCACGTTCTTCGTATTGAAGCTGAAATATATCGTCGTCGATTCGAACGATTAAAAATTTGAAAGTTTTGAGAATTCGAGAATTTATAAATTCGAAAGTTTGACAATGCATGAGTCTGAAGAACAGGTCATGAGGAATAGAAATCTAATGTGATCTAAATCACTGTACTGATTATGACAGTAGCGGTACATACATATATAATACGTATAGACGTAGATTATGTTGAGGAGATACTTAGATATCGAATATCTTGATAGGAAGACATTTATCACATAAAATTTAAAAATACTGCTTTGATGTTACACCATTTGATAAAAGATAATTCTAGTTTCATGAACGATCATTACTATTATTATTACTGCTAGCTACAATATCTCCCTTATCTCATTAAATAATCTCAGTCGACAGATTTTTGATAAGGGGACATAAACTTATTTTCATACACAAAAGATATTCCATAGGAGACTTATATTTCTGAATTAAAAAATGTTTAATTTTAAGTTTCACTTACCGATCCGCGAAATATCCACAAGGAAACATACCCGTGAGGTAACCAGCGAAATAAATGCTAACGACCAAGCCCTGCTCAGTTGTCGTCCAGTCAAAAGGACCATCTATATCGACTCCCGAAACGTCTTCGTCGCCAAAATCACATTCATAAGTTACATCGCCTGGACTATTTGAATGCTTTTTAGATTTCACCATGCCAACGATAGCTGTCGCGATGTTGACCTTCAATCCATAGATGATCATGTTCGCAATGCAAAGCATTATAGCGAACAAAAACCTCACGATATCCGCTATCATAGTAAAATACAAAATTCATAAATATTTCTCGTCAAAATTCCTGAGAGATGTATGATAAAGATTCATGTCAAGTTAATTTTTGTGCGTTTGTCATTTCCAAGGAAATATTTATTTTTTGCTATGATATTTAAATTAAAATATTCTGTGCTACGAAGCATGCGCTACACGCCACTTAAAATAAAATTACAATATTACAATAGAATATATATATTTTTAAGTAACAAAATATTTCTGTTTTAAGTAATATTCCAACGCACTGTTCATAACATTTTTCTTTCTTCCTTCAAAATCATTTGATTAAAGCGCACAAGGATAAAGACGCGACAGTTGCTTTAGCAGCAACGAACGTGTTAAACAGAAAGTAAATGTACACTAACTATTATTCAAAAGTATTTATTTGGGCATTTTCTTATTCTTGATGCAATGATTCTTGGCAAAATTTACAATAACAAAATTGATACTTATAAACGTTATGAATGTTTTGTTGTTTCACAAATCTTTCTTCATTCTATAAGCGTTTAGTTTCTAAGCTACGGATAAGATAAGAAATATAAACCTAAAACCATTGAGACTAAAAAATTCCGACTAATATAATGTGACTAGCTGTGATTAATAGGAAATTCGCATGTTAAAATAAGATCATGAAATAGTTAAAATAAAAATGATAGCTCACGCATGTTTGTGTCTCTGCTTCAAGCTTGGAGATTTCAAACTTTTCACTCTTTTTGCTTCGTTACGTTGACGATCATCACAGCTCGATTCTACGTACGTCTTCGCGCAGTGTCTCTTGTCAGTTCTTGTCTCTTTTCGCATCGATCCGATCGCGAAAGTCGTTCTTTCTCTGCATTCGACGGCTCGACGACGACTATCGAATTATCGTTAACGACGCAGTCGATCGAAGTATACTAGATTTCTCGTTCTCCGGATATCTTCTTCGACACGACGCGTCGAGACGAGATTACGCGTGACACCGTGTGGTTCTGAACCGCGTGTGTCGCTTGTTTCCGAAATCGATGTGGATTTCGAGTGTCGATTCTGTTATCGCACAATTACCACTCACTTTTCCTCTTAATTGCATTACATCATTCGTTGGTAATGCGCTTTTTCTCGGAGATGTATGTATAGCAATGGAACTTTAGAAGTCACAGTGGAAGTTTCATCGAAGAGAAGTAGAAAGTTTTATGGATAAATGATAATGTAGTCGTATACTTCTGACATTGTGAAGGAAAAGATTTTTTCACGTATGTATACAAGGAAAACCATCTCGTTTATCAGAAAAGGAATACATCATAGATTATTTTTAAAAATTGCCGAAGTTTTATATTAGTAAGCAAATTAAATGCGCGATTTTTCCAAACGCATATAATAAAATACTTTGAAATTGCCAATTGATGGCAATAAATGTGTGACGAGATGGTAGAAACATAATATTAAGAAATTGTTTCTTTTTTATTTCATTTTTTTGCTCGAGCAGGAAGTTATAACGCATGTAAAAAAATTTAATTAGAACGACTTTGATTAGACTAATAAACGTATATCTTTTCTAAATTTGACGAATTACGAGTAAAGCTGTTACTTCCCAAAATAGTATCCATTTCTCTTCATATTTAATCATAAAATACAGAAAATAATTCTATGAATTACAGTTATTAACATGATTAATCTGACATCATAAATCTGATTGCTTTCAGGAAGTTAAACGTGTCTGCAATTGAAATTCCCACGACACGTGCATGTTTATTCGATACTTATGACGAATTATCCGCTGATAGGAATCGCTAATGTCAGTAGATTCATAGAGAATGCGGTGGAAATGTAACGTATATAGTAGAAACATTCAACAGGTTGATGTCGCACAATAAAAACTTTTAAGCGGTCGATACTTCTTTAAACATCGCAACCGACGTTAAATAAGAACGATGTTGCCACCAGCTAAAACAAGGTCAAAGCAATGAAATCCTCCAAACACGTAATTTACCCACTGAGCAAGGATTTCACTCTTAACAAATGATATATATTGTACAATTTATAGATTATTGGTGTCCTTGAGTTTTATTAAGTCCGTTTTCAAGATCGTAAATTTCATTCTTTTCGACGAACAATGATTGTTTTTAGTCCTCTTTCGTGTAAACTAGGAAACATTGTGGGTCCCTGGATAGAAAATATTATTTTGTATTTTAATTGTTTCTCCTTGATACATAAAATATTGTTCTTTGCGAAAATCGGTGAAATTCTTTCAACGTTCTCTACTTCTTTCTCCTTTTAATTGTAGAGAAAACATTGATAATGCATTGATAATAGAGAAATAAAGAAACTCCCTACTTTTTCTTATCAACTCACTAATATCATTAATTATTAAATTATTACGTACATCTTTCCTAGTATGGTCTATGTGTTTCTAAATATATTAATGTTTAACTTTTTCACTTCTTGTGTAAAAAAAATTTATTTGTGGTAAAAGACCAGTAGTTCGTATCATTAAAATACACCTTGATATCTGCGAAACTTTATCACCTACTTTATCTATACGATATTTGCTAACTTCGTTTTATATCAGCTGAATTTCGGCTACCAGTCTGTTACATAATGGCAGCGAGTAGTATTTACTATCTAACGAGCCTCCTATAACTGTCTTCCTGAACAAAAGGCCATTGACACAAAGTACTGATAAATTAGTGTATAGCCTAGTGATACATAATCAATCTACTAAGATAATGCGCGAACATGCATTTTTGTACAACGTTACGGTTGTCAACGCTCTTACGTAACTTATTGACAAAGTCAAATTTGTATTACGTTTCATTTGTAATAAAAGAATCGGAAATTTTTACGCATAGTTTTAGACATTCCATTAAGGAAATAGAAATTAGGTGTTTGTTTTATCTATTAATTCGTTAAACGAATCATTCTTTAATTATTTTTAGAATTATGAAATTGGATATTAATAAAATCGAATCAATTTCAGATATGTTAATTTTTATTTTTCCAATTATAAATATAATATAATTTATTTTTAATACAAATCAGAAGACAGAATTAAAAAGTAGAGACTCCATAAATAGAGAAGTTATTATCTCAAAGCATTTTGAAATTGTAACAAGTATGCGTATTCTATTTCGAATATTCTATATATATTTCCATGTTATACAAGTATTGTATACGTCAACTTCGCGTGAATGCGCACAAATTTGTACTTTTGCGATAAATATTGGATTTTGCTTTTATTATTCCTTATATAAAATTCTTCATCATTTGTATCTGAATGATACTTAATTAAATTCAAATCGTATTTGCTCGAATTATTGTAACGTGTCGTGAAAATATTGATCTTAATTTGATGCTAAAAACTGTTTCCCGATAGATTTACATAAAACATAGAGCATAAAATATTAAATATTTTAAATCCAAATTAATGCTAACCTCGATTTACAAATATTACTAAATCAATTATCTAATCAGCGGTAAATTGTTAATGTCGCTGTTCTGATACGGAAAGTTCAAATGGAACTCATTGGATTTTATATTTATCATGTTGCATTTGCACGCTATTTAATTATTTTATTCGGGAGAATAGAATTAGATTTGGAACATTTCATGGTTCGCATTCTACTATCACATAGCGATCATCTACAGTCAATCACAATAATGTACATATACTTATAGAATTATTATCTGCTTTATAAAAAAAAACTAAAACCATGTTTTATCATAAAACACATTTATGAACATAAAACAAAAAATTCGGAAAATTTTATTCCAAAAGAATTGCTGGAATCAATCTCATTGTTGTGCGGTTCCTAACGCATTTATCGGAAATTTGAAGACGCAAAGGTTCACAAAATATAGACAGAATGTAAAAATATGTAAAATATCCAAAGTATAATATTCGTAATAATATTTATCAGGTAAAACAAGTATCTACTTAGATGTGTAAGCATTTCTCTTACTTTTTTAATTACGTCCATAAAAATACGAATTTGCAGAAATATTCTCAGCTTAATTACAATATCTCAAACGTATGATAGTCTATATATATCTTATCAATTACGTATCTCGTTCAAACATAGACGAAACTTCCTGCTGCGCCCTTCTACACACAAATCATTCTTCCCCGGCATCGATCCCAGGAAATTTTACCTGTTCCATTCATGCGTGCCGCTCGTCTACCGCTCGGCTTGACACATGTTTGACAAACGTGCACCTGTAACGACCAACAACAGGCCGATCGATACACCGGAGACTTCCTTTAAACGTCGGCTCCTTTCACGTCGCGATGCAAACGACAGCCGTAACGAAATGTTTCGTAGGAACGGGAACAGGAAGGATAGGGGTGATTACGACGACAGCTTACCGAGACGGATGGCGCACCCGAGGTCGCATAATATACATATGCTTCCGTTCATCAGTATTAGCAGACTTAGAGAAAGTGCGTTTAACCTCAGAAATGTTTAGAAACCTATTAAACCTTTTAACAATTATTATCAGATTTGAAACTTACGCAACGCAGAATTAGGATCATAGAATCGAGAAGAATTGAATAAAATTCACGTATTCAACGTTATAATCGTATGTTATATATGAGTAAAAAATGTGCTAACATATGAACGATAGCGTAGTCACAAACTTACAAACAAACTTTCTTAAGATTAAGAAAATTTAACAAACGTCTCTTGTACCTAGAAACAGTTTGACTTTGTATCGCCTTGCGTTACTTTCGCGGTAGGTGGTCCGAGAGTGTCGGCAAAGAACGTCAAGAGAGCATCACGCTTGTTAGCAGAACGAACTTCCAGCAGCTAATTGGTATTCCTCCGGCGGGAAGTGTCAGCCTTTGACTGATTCTATTTCGAGTAGGTTGCGGTCTTTTCAAGCTGCTCGGTGTGTTTACATTCTGGAGGGAATCGTAAGACAGCAAAGTGGCTGACCAACGTTGACCGAACACAATGCAGCATCTCGAGGGCCTTGAATCTTCTCAGACCGGTTCCATCCGAGGATTTTCAAGCGCTTCTCCTTCTAATCGGTCACCAGGCATCGTTGTCCTGACGCCTCTGAGAGTTCTTCGTGCCCGTGAGCTGTCGAGAAACGGGTTGCCTCTTCTTATAAAACGCACCATCTTCGTTCTTTCTTTCTTTCTTTCTTTATTTCTTTCTTTCGTCTACTATACTGGCTAGTCTTCATTCTTCTCTCTGCCGCAGAAGCGTGATGGCACATTCATTTTTAACGTGTCGAGGCTTCGCATTTTCTCGAGTGGATTTCACGTTTCTCCGGCATATTCTGCGTACGGATATACGCGACCGTTCACCCCGTCTCCAATGCAACGCGTACGTGTCACTCGTGGGGACAAACACAAAGAGATACTATCTCTGGCTATCGAATTAAGAAAAGAAGAGAATCCACTTTTAAGAATGGAAATATATAGTATATATAAGTAGTGCGTTAGATGCGTCTTTGTTTGTGCAAATTATTATCATTTGATAGGTGTATTGTGAAATGTCATTCCTTTGAAACTTAAATTTCCTCGATAACGGCTCCGATATCGAAATTATCACCAGCAAATTATTAAGATCTTCCAGAATTACTTTACACTAAAAGAAGGATTCGTAAGCTGTAATAAAACTATAAAAAGATTTCGTATACACAACATTAAAATAAATCGTCAATTAATGTCGCCTTTGAATATTGACTATTCGAATTCTAAAATTGACGACTCTTATAAATCTGAAATACATTGATCAATAATAAAGAGTACATTGGTCGATGTAAAAATTGCTTCGATTAAATGTATAATATTTTAAATAAACTACCAGAAGTTAAAGTTTCATAGTATAGAACGTATGATATATACACGAACCTAATACTCGGATACTATCAATTCCACTGACAATCTGATAGATACACTTGATCCAAGCAATAAACCAATCCATTGGAAGAAGTTCGAGAAAGACAGAAAAGACGCCACACGTTCAGTCTATTACAGGAGCATCGGTGACTGTTTGTCATTCTAACGCCGTTG